TACCCCTTAGTAAGGGGCCCTTACCACATTCGTCGTGATTTCAGCAACAAGTCAAACGACTTCTGCAACAAATGATGAGCTCTCATGCTTTCGGAACCGTTCAACTGCCGCGTTTGCTAGTTTCGTGCACGATCTTTTGGAGTACAGGGCTCGAATCGTAACATCCGTTCATGGATCGAAAACGATACGAAAGAATATTACGTGATACGTCAGGCAGTATAAGCTGAATGGGACAAAGAGTACGTTCACGTATGTCATAATGCGAAATATGTGTTTTTACGTGACGAGTAATACGATAACGTATGTTATGATTCGAGCCCTGGTTTGCCGAAGTCAGTATCAGTATGAGCTGTTATAAGCAGTGTTGCCACAGAAACATTTTTTCCTACCAAAATTTCCTACTATAACCAACCAAAACCTACCAAACATTTTTTTTGAGTTTTAATAAATTTTTTTTCAATGTCAAATTTCATAAAAACATAGCTAACATAACATTTAGTAAAACTAAAACACAGCTAGTACAATAAAAACAAATTAACTACATATAACGATTCATTTTACTGTACATACATACATATCGTCATTAGATACGAATAAAGTCGATATTCTCGATAACTATGTTTAACCGTAGTGTTAGTCAGGCATCTTTATCGACGTCGATAACTATGTTTAACCGTAGTGTTCATCAGACATTGAGTAACCGGCCCTTAACATAGGCGAGGGCAAAAAAAGACGCGTTAACCTCTTTGACGGCGAAGAAAGACGAAGAAAACTTATTTTCGCGGTCAACTATGTTTGCGAGTATACGAATTCCCCAAAGAGTTTTTTCCCGAATGAGGTTGAATCCATGTTTACGCGTCTTTTTCGAAATTTTTTTTTCACATCTTTATTCGTGTCAAGTGACTATATTATTATTATTACGTCGGAGATACTCGCGTTGCAGCTTAAGAAGGTATATTGTGCTAAATCCTAATTGTAATCGCTCCAACCTTAGACTATTTAAAAAGATCAGCACTAGAGGTGTCAAACTATCGATAGTCATACCATCGATAGTTTTGATAGTTTTCAGAAAAACTATCAATATTCACGATAGTCTCGAAAAAAACAAAACTATCGATAGCACTATCGATAGCGCTAAATCAGTTAGGTTGCTTTGTTTTTACAGGATCATAGTGAAATAAATATTTTCTTATAAAAGTTATAATCATTCAAAATTAGGTAACTGCTTAGCCAAAATACTTCCCTTTTTAGAAAGTTAAAAAACAAACACAAGTTATACAAACAAAACAGGATTTACGATTAACATATGTATGTATTTTGGCCTAAATGCGTGCATATTTGAATATGACGTCGGCATCACACTAAAAAACTAAATTTTTAATTCAAATTAAAAAATTCAGGTATTACATACAATAGATCGATAGTCCTACTAAACTATCGATATTTTTGATAGTATAAGAAGAAACTATCAATGAGTATTGATAGTCTAAAAAAATTGAAACTATCGATACTATCGATAGTGCCATCGATAGTTTGACAACTCTAATCAGCACTTTGGATGAAAATTTTAGATGGAGAAGACAATCCTTCTCAAAGGTGCATCAATCTACTATTCATGTTTCGTGGACAGGCACATAGAATATACTCTGGGGTTTGCTTCACCGGCCCACAAAACCTACATCAGTCTCTACAGAAAGACCGTTTAATTCAATCGGTAAGTTCACTTGCAGTGTGCTGTCAGGTAGCCAGTAAGAGTTTTAAGTTCAAGGTATCTTTCGGAGTTCCTCCTGAAAAGATCTGAATCTCGTTGATTGTCTTATTCCCTTCGACTTTCGCCAATGTGCAGCAATTCCCAGCTAGATCCTAAGTAGGTCTGTAGTGTATCCTTTAGATGTACCGCAGAAAGGCTCGGAACCATGCAAACGCATTTGGGCTCCACTCTTTGCAAGACAGTCAGCCGTTTCGTTGCCTTCATGTCCCTGAACCCTCCACAGCGGTACGCTATTGTGGGCTTCCAGGTGGTTCAAGAGTTCACAAGCCTTGATGCCGCACTGTGTTCTGTTTTGGGAAAAAATGGACAAACTCAAATATCTCCCGATCCAAACCATATAGAGACACAAACTAAACGGTATTATAAAGCCCAAATACTGGTGAATACGGAAAAATTATTCAGATTCTTCAAAAACAGTTTCTTGACCTTGAATTCCAAGGTCAAAGTTCAACTAAAAAAAATATATATATAAAAGCAAATATCTAGCGATCGAAAATTAATAGAGACCTAAATGAA